ACCGTTCCTAGCAGACAGCCCATAAATATAAATTGTGAGTAGTTATTCAGTGGCACCTATTATTTTATTTTCAACCATTACTTCTGATATTCATTTATATTTTTCAGATATATATTTTTCAGACTTTGATGAATTATTCACGGATGGTATTTTTTTTTTTTTTTATAAACCCTACTATTTTTTTCTCCAACAGAAATGTTTTCATAAAGCTTTCCTCCTTTAGAGAATCACAGAAATGACTCCACCTCAGATAATGTGGTGTCTCCAGGTGGAGGGGTCTATTCACCATTATGATGCTACACCACTGGTGAGTGCACAACTTAATGAAATTTGCAGAGGTATAGAACCAACTATGAGAGTAATGGCTCATCGCTTGATAAGATTCTGGTTTTAACGCAGCATGTTATGCAGATAACGGACACCAGTAATAAATACTGTACATTTAAGATAATTAGAAGCCAACAGCTGGGGGACATTGTCTTTCTATGGGCTAAATCGATAAACCTTTTGTTTTAGATGAAAACGTTTTTGATGTTTTTTACGCAGAAGAGAAAGATTGGAAAATACAGGCAGCTGTATGTTAATAGTAGAAATAGAGGTCTTCTAGAAATGTGATGATCTTGGCTCTGATGGCTGGCCGAATTATTCATTTCATTCACCTTCCCAACTCTGCTCATCTTATCCACCTGCTTCCACCTGCTTCTACTTCTATATATACGGGATATTAGTCCCTGCCATCAGGGCCAGATTATTGATGATGGTTTTTAACGTTCCGTAGTGTTTCTGATTTCCTGATCCTTATCTGTCTCTTATCCACTGACGTGCCCGGTTGTTGTCTTGTCTCAGTGGAGAAAGCAGTTTTTAGCGTTCTGTGGTGTTCCTGATATCCTGACCTGTTCTGCCTCTCAACCCCTGAGCTTGTCTGTTCCTGTCTGAATGGTTCTGCTTGAACTATCTGTGGGCTCCTGGACTTCTGAGCCTCCTGTTCTGATCTGTTTCCCTGATCTGGCTTGGACTCCTGGGGCCCCCGCATGTACTTGGCAGCCCACCGGCTGGATCTTTTAGCCTTTAGCTAATCAACATAGATATGTTTGCAAACTGATATATCTCTATATTTTCAATTTTGTATTCTCTCTATGTTGTATTTGGTGCAGCTTTTTCTCTTTTGAGGGTAAATAGCCAACATTTTTTGTTGATTCAGAGTCAACTGATGGACCAGATATCCCACATTATCATTCCTCATGTAGGATTCCCATCAGCAGCACTGAGACTGCGTTGTCTGATATGAAAAGAGTTATTCATTTGAAATTTGTCAGTGTTAAGCAGGCTCTAACCCAGCAAGATTAATCACGTTAGTGCTGAAGAATGTGGAGAAATGTGCAACTTTATCAGAAACAGAAAACATGTTGGGAAAAGGCAGAAGAGTGGTTCAGCATTATGAGTCATCCTATCACGTTATATTAAATATTAAAGAGGTTAACTAGATTATTGAAGGTAAAAGGCACTAATGCAGGGGTTCCGAACATGGGGGTGGGGACTTCTCAGCACTTCTCTCATCTGAACTAACCTCCCCCATACTTTGTAATTCTATTGGGCTAGAAATGCCCCACTCTCCAAATCAGCCACTCAGTATTGCTTCTAGCCTGCCTGAATGACTAAAACACATGTTCTCCATCTCCACATCTTTCTCCAGTGATGCCATCCCAGCCCAGTCATAAACAAGATTTTGCCAACATCTAAATTCAAAATTAGTTTAAACTAATTT